AGCGCGTAGCGTAGCGATAGCGTGCTAGGTTAGTAGTGTCGACGCTGCTGGTTTGAGTCTCGACATATATACATTTTTTTTTTTTTTTTAAATTCTATAATATAATCTAAATGTAAATAATACGTTTTTTATTTATTTATTGCATGTTATAAAAGTGTATTTTTTGCATAAAAAATCCGTGATTTAAAAAATACAGTAAAAATAAATAGTATAAAATAAATAAAATAAATAATTATTACTAATTGTGTGTGTGTGTGTGTGTGGTTTTAAAAAGCGAATAAATAATTGTACGCAACATGTAAAAATATGTGCATATTTTATTTATTTGAACTAGATGAGACAATACATANTGCAGGATGATATTTGTCATAAAAACAAGTGAAACAATAATTTTCACGACAGTGTGCACATCGTATGAACGCTGCAGTTTCACATTGACATGGTTTCTTTAAAATATCTATTGTAAACCATACTCTTTGTTGACATTCATAAATATCTTTCTCTCGTTTGTTAATTTGGAAGCAAACCATGCATATTGTAACATATTTCGAAAATTCGGGGCGGATAATTGATGATGTATGATTGAATGAATTTTTATGCAATCTTCACGAGATTGCATAGAAATTGCAAAAGTCCGGAAAATTCACAACAAATCTGTATATACAATATTTAAAAGAAATATTATTATTATATGTAAAACAAGAAAAATTTCTTTTAATAATAGATTTGTGGCCCGGTCAAACTAATCCTGCATTGTATGAAGAAATTTTTCTTGATGATGACAATGCAGGAACATGCACTATTAAAGTTGTTCCTCCAAAGTGCACACCTTTATGTCAACCATGTAATGTTTATTTTTATAGACAAATAAACAATTTTATAAAGCGTTTGCAGAATTGTTCGCCTTTAATAGAACAAAACCGCAAAATAACATCTCGTAAAGATTGCATAAAAATTCATTCAATCATACATCATCAATTATCCGCTCCGAGTTTTCGAAATATGTTACAATATGCATGGTTTGCTTCCAAATTAACAAACAAAAGAGATATATTTATGAATGTCAACAAAGTATGTTTTTTTATAATAGATATTTTAAAAAAAACCATGTCAATGTAAAACTGCAGCGTTCATACGATGTGCACAGTGTCGTGAAAATTATTGTTTCACTTGTTTTTATGACAAATATCATTCTGCATTATGTATTGTCCCATTTAGTTCAAATAAATAAAATATGTTACATATATTTTTACATGTTACGTACAATTATTTATTCGCTTTTTAAAAACACAATTAGTAATAATTATTTATTTTTACTATATTTTTTTAATCACGGATTTTTTATGCAAAAAAATACATTTTTATAACATGCAATAAATAAATAAAAAACGTATTATTTACATTTAGATTATATTATAAAATTTAAAAAAAAAAAAAAAAATGTATATATGTCGAGACTCGAACCAGCAGCGTCGACACTACTAACCTAGCACGCTACCGCTACGCTACGCGCTCTTCGATTAAACAGCTTATTTCATATCCTCATACGGTACCTCAAAATTTTCAAATTCGATTTTCTCGCGAATGCTTGAGTAGTGCATCTTATTACTTTACCTTGCAATACTCCACATAGTCATCTATCGATCCTATAAATTTCGTCTAAATCGATTGGTACAACGTCGTATTCTTCTCTTGTGAAATATAGACCCTAGAATAAATTCCTTGTTATCATTTTATTTTAAATTGAATCTCGCGTTCTTTATTTTGATTCTTGCGACTTATCTTTCCTGATACTTCCTCCCGCCTTTCTTTGTTCGGTTACAAAGAGCTAGCAGGCCCGGATTTCTTTCAGGCAAGACGTCCCCAAATTGACACGTGGTACGCGTGTCTGGCGCCCAAAATTCCACCTTAAACAAATACCGACGTTCTCGAAAATTCCGCTTGCGCTTCTGGACTCCGAAGATCGGTGATTTCAGTCACGGCAGAGACGAGCCGTTTTCTTATAGCAGCGTTCGTACAAGAAAAGCGTTGCAACGTATAAAAACAACATATATACTACAAAATGTGTAATATTATGAAAATACTATAAAATGTGTGATATCTCACAAAACTTACTTTTTTAAAAAAAGAGGTAAGAAAAAGGCGCCAAGTACACGCACAACAAGTATTGTATCAAATTTTCAACAAAACTTGTTTGATAAAAAAAATGATATAAAAAAGTAGCACCAAATAAACTATAAAAAGTTATTACAGTAATAGAAAAAAAAACAAAAATAATTTTACTATATATTACAAAAAATTTTTTCTCTACAAAATCTGTTTTTTTTTTAAGAAATGATATCAAAAAGCAGCACCAAGTAAAATTTTGAACGTTATTACATTACACAGGCCCACAAAAAAACTTTTTTTTCTGCGCCATAGATGCCAGTATATTCCTATATATTTTTTCCCGCTGAACACAAATCCGCAACCCGTTTATCCTGTACACGTCAAGATTTTTTTCTAACCTCAAAAACCATATCAAAACGCATGAAAACCATCAAAAATATAACTTTATCAATCAAATCATCCCTAAAACTATCTAACCCCACAATCCAATAACCCCTTAACGCAATTACTCCTCAATTCAATAACTCCATAACCCCTTAACCCTAAAACCCCATGTAGTGGAGAGATCTTACAAGAGGAAACCGAAAAATCTCGTGTATTTTTCAATAAGCCTATAACTCACTTATACTAGGAACTTTATATCCTTNAAAAAGAAAAACTTTATTACAATGATAAAGGAAATGGAAAGACGTTATCAGGGTGGAATGCACATATGATGGTTGACTACTGCTGGACATTGAAAAGAGAGAGTGCTGACATTGGTAAGAAGCGCAAATGTAATCCGCTTCACAGATCATTCAAGGACAAAAAAGTTTGAAGAAGCAGATTGTCATAAAGTTTTTCTTTTTAAAGGGTATAAAGTTTCTGGTATAAATGAGTTATGAGCTTATTAAAAAATACACGAGATTTTTCGGTTTCCACGTACAAGATCTCTCCACTACATGAGGTTTTAGGGTTAAGAGGTTATGGAGTTATTGAATTGAGGGGTAATGGCGTTAAGGGGTTATTGGATTGTGGAGTTAGATGGTTTTGGGGATGATTTGATTGATAAAGTTATATATATATATATGATTTTGATGGTTTTCATGCGTTTTGATATGTTTTTTGAGGTTAAGAAAAAATCCTGACGTGTACGAGATAAACGGGTTGCAGATTCGTGTTCAGCGAGAAAATATACATGGGAATATCATACTGGCATTCATGGCGCAGAAAAAAAAGTTTTTTTGTGGGCCTGTGTTATTGGTGAGAATAAGATTTCGCCTTAACCTTTACGCTGCCGGGATTTGAAGAGCATTACGAGGTGTGATCAAAAAGTAAGGTGANTCTTTGAATTTCGCGCGCTCTGTACACTCTAATTTCAAAATTTTTTTGTTGTTGTGTTGGTACACTCGTCACGATCATATGTTCACAGTTTTGACTATATAGCATGTGTTGTTTTATGTGAGAGGCATAAAGGTTAAACTCGTGTTTGCGTGCTCGGCGATTTTTTGCTGTTGAAAATAATGGATCAGAGAGTTTGTATTATCTTTTGTGTAAAAAATGGTATTAAGTGTTCAAACACTCTTGAAATGTTGACAGTGGCGTACGGTGAGTCAACTTTGAGCAAAAAAAATGTTTATAAATGGTATAAGTTATTCCAAGAGGGCCGAGAAAATGTTACCGATGAACCTCACTCTGGACGTCCCAGTACGTCAAAAATCGACAAAAATGTTCAGAAAGTGAAAGAAATTGTGTTGAAAAATTGTCGAATCACGATTAGAGAAGTAGCTGATGATCTTAACATATNGTTTGGCTCATGCCAATCAATTTTAACGGATGTTTTGGGTATGACACGTGTGTCAGCGAAATTCGTTCCAAAACTGCTTAATTTTGATTAAGCAGTTAGTTTTGGTTTTTGGCCACAAACAATACTACCATCATGCCTCAGCCGCCGTATTCACCAGACTTGGCCCCCTGCGACTTTTTCCTCTTTTCAAAATTGAAAAGGCCCATGAAAGGAAACAAAGATTTGCGACGATTAAAGAGATTAAGGCTGCATCGCTGGAGCTCAAGGCAATACCCAAAAGTGCATTTCAGAAGTGTTTTGACAACTGGAAAAAGCGCTGGCACAAGTGCATTGTATCAGAGGGGGATTATTTTGAAGGAGATAACATAATTTTGGATAAATAAATGAATATTTTTTTATAAAAATGAAAAGTCATTTTATTTTTTGATCACACCTTGTATGTCCCTTAGAAAATTCCCAAATTTTGTGGTTGTATCTTTTATATAACTTATATAAAGTTGCGATCATAGGTAGGGTTTATATATAGACCCTCCGGCAGCGTATTGGACCAGAAAAAATTAAAAAATTTAGTTTGTTTAAAAATCCGTTTTTTTAGGTTTTTGAGGTCACTAAAAACGATAGTGAAGTTAGTTTTTAAGTACAGTAAATTTTTAGGGCTGTATGACTCTCCTTCAGCGTTATCCCGCCAATGGCAAGGACGTAGATATTGTGGCTCCAATCTTTTTTTTTCATTTTTTTGTTCTTGTTTAGTTTAGTTTTGTTTTTATCATGTTTTTTGTTGTTTATTTTTTAATTTATTTTTAAATTTTTAAATTTAAAAAAAAATTTTTTTTTTTTTTTGGATTACTTTTGAGAAATCTTTCTATGGTAATTCGGATTTGGTATGATACGTCTCAAAACACGGTATAATACATAGAGTTTCGTGACAGATATTGCATTCATACTTAGAGCGTCGTTTTATTTTCTTCATAGCGCAGAGTTTACACTTACGCTGTAGAATTGCAGATGAACCTTTGTTAGGAATTTCAACAAGGAAATGACGTCCTGTTAATCGTGAATGAGTTGGAGCTAAATATGAATGTTTATGAACTTTAAGATTGAATAATCATCTAACTACTTCTATACGGAATTCTAGAAAAGAAAGTTTTTTTTCCACTTTTTGATTGTACAATACGTGAGCGTTTGCCAATGCCAAATCCACTAAATGAAAAAATAATTTTCGATACCATTTCATAGTTTTTCTAATGGTTTCTGTCATAGATAACTGCTTATCTATATTATCGATCCCTCCCATATTTTTATTATACTCACAGATACAGAGTGGTTTCACGATATCTTCTTTAGTTCGCCAATGTTTTTTATCGGTAGGGCTAAATCTAACTTCATGGACTGTTGTGATCATGTAAACTTTTCTTTTGTCCATCCATTTCATTACTAACCAGACGTCATTGTGTGCGACTTGAATCTCACCTTTATTTAGTTTATTCTCTAACCTTGGCATAAATTTCCTATTCTTCTTCACAGTTCCACAGATTCCTGTGTCACGGTCATGTAGAAATTCGGCCAATCCTGGAGATGAATACCAAGTATCCACGTAAATGACGTGACCTTTGTTGAAAAAATTTTTTAGGAAATGAGCTACAATGTCACTAGTAATACCCAAACTAAACTTTTCGTAATCGGTATCTAAACCTGTACATACAATAAAATCTATCAAAACTCCAGTTTTACAATCAATTAGTTTAAACAATTTGATACCAAAACGATGTCGTTTCAACGGTAAAAATTGTTTGAAGTACAGCTTCCCTTTCCATAAAACTAAACTTTCGTCAATACAAAGATTCTGTCCTGGTAATATAGAATTTGAAAATTTTTCTCTTAGATCGTCAATTACAGGTTTCAATTTTTTTAGAGGATGATTTACTATTTCTTCGTTGTTTGAAAAATGCAAAAATCGCAAGATTTGGAGATATCTATTTCGATGCATGATCTTTCTAAAAATTGGAGTTTCCAACAGAGGATCTGTGCTCCAATAATTTTGAATTGCACTTTTTCGAACGTGTCCCATATTGACTGTTGTTCCAAGAAAAATCCGTAATTCATCAACTGTAAGAGGTTCCCAGGACTTCATATTTTTTCGCGGGCCTTCAGGGTTTTGTTCCTGATTTAGATTTGTTTGTGCTGTTATCATTTNTAAAAGATTTAAATTGAAAAAAATTTTGAAGTAGCACAATGGAGTATCATCTGGAACAGTAATAGTACTCTGAATACCAGGTGAACCTGTGAAATCTTTTATGGAAGGATAAAATAAGATATCATAGATAACATCAGGATTATCTTCATCAATATCAATAAGTAAGCCATCATCTACAGCTTCAGATGCACCAGTCATATCATGTTCATTATCGAATTTTTCTAGTTNTGATTNGCCACTGCTAAAGTCTACAGTTTCAACATCCATTATAATTATCTAGTTGAGAAAATCGGAAAAAACTAGATAAAAGAAAAAATATCACGAGAAAATAAAGAGTAATGAGAGCAACACGTATATATCTAATACAGAGTTTTGCGATAAGGTGGTGGCCTCTCTATATATAAGGTCATGGGCACAATCTTATCATGGGTTAAACTTGATGGGTTGCCACCTGGTGAGAGAAATCGAAACTAAGCATAGGATTATAATGTGTACCGAGTTCTTAGTCAATTGTAAAATACTGAGCATGTAACATTCAAGGGCAACATATGTATGCGCGCGCGCGCGTATGTATGTGTGTGTGGAGGAGGGAGTGTATAAGTGTACATATATAAGTACTTATACGTATTTATATATACTTCTTGTGGAAGTTTATGCATGTTTTGATAGGCTGCTCAACAGCGTATATATATAGACGCTCCGGCAGCGTAAAGGTTAAACAAAAAGTAGAAACCCTATAAATTTTCATTTATAACCGAAAACATATAATAATAATAATAATAATAATAATAATAAAAGAACTGTTTAATGTAAATAACTTGGTGCAGCTGCATTAAAACTAGAAAAATGTTTATACAGAGAGAACGGTTTCTTTAGATTTAACAAATTTTGTTAAATCCAAACAAATTATTTCATTGGAATAGTCCAAACAACCTTGATTTTGAACTAAACATTCTGATTGTTTGAATTTCAAACAAAGTATTTTGTTAAGTTAAATAAATCTAAAACTTCAATAAAAAAAACTTTTTCGCGGCTTGCGCCCTCACACAACTTCGAGATTTTACTCGAAGTAATCTTTGAAGGCCCGATTCAGCTTGCCAATTAACTGATGAACTCCATTGAAAGAGACTGGACCTGAAAAAATCCTAAGGTGATAGCAGGATTCAAACTCGAGACGCCTCCGTCGTATTCGCAGCCCCTGCACTCAGTCCGCAAGACTACTTGTTTCTTACTAAAATGTGATTATTTTTATCTATTTATTGTCAAGCTATGACAATAAGTAGATAAAACACATATACACATTTCCTATACACATTTCATTTATTATTTCTTTAAATTATTATTTTATTAAAAATATTGCACTGCAATGTATCTGCAACAATGGATAAAAATATTTCTCTTATTATTATTAATTATTTATTATTCTTATAATTTAAAGTACAGTTTTACAACGCGAAAGTTTTTGTCTCAAACAATGCTATATTTAAATTAAATATATTTTGTTACTTTTATGTCACAAAATGATTTTTTTTATTAAAGAATACTTATTAAAACCAAATAAAATATTATTTTGTTGGAATAAATTATTTCAAACATTTGTATTGTTTCCGTCAAATAATTTGATTTATTTTAACGTAACAATATAATTTTTATTTAACAAAATTGTTGTTTGGTATAAAATTATGTTGTTTGAATGCAACAAATATGAGTCAAACAAATCAGATTATTAAATTTAACCCATTTGCATCATAAGCGCATATATGCGCGCATTTTACTTAGGAATTTATCACCAAAGCGCATATTATTTATACCAGGCCTGTCCAGCGGTGGGGCCCCTCACGCACTTTATTTCCCTTCTACTCTCTTAGACAGCTCTCTCTCCCTCTCTCTCTCTCTCACTCTCTCTCTCTCAAATTTTGGTGATAAGAACAAATTTTTGACTTTTCTTTGTGATGCAAATGGGTTAAAGAAACCGTTCTCTCTGTGTATGCGCAAATACGCGCAAGCTATTTACAGTTCCTTTAAAATTTATTTTTTATCTCACTTTATAACTTTGTCATACTAAATATAATTATTCTCATATCAACAAAAGAATTCTACGCATAAGATAAAAAATGCGGCTAAAATAAGGATACCCGAGTCAAAATTTTGACCCTCTGATGAACATCTCATTGTACTATATAATAGGAGTTACGATAGTAAAAGTAGGTTCAATTGCAAGGATAAAATTTACTCCTGCTTTTTAAACCTAAAAGCGTCACAAATTTCCACTTTCTCCAAATTAGAATTAAAGTAGGTTCTTTTTATGTAGAAGCTAAAGTAGTAAAATAGATTCAATTAAAACCTCTATTGAGCCTACACAGAGAGAAAGGTTTCTTTAGATTCAACAAATGTTGTCAAGTTAAATAAGCCTAAACCTTCACTTAAAAAATTATTTGCGGCTTGCGCCCTCACAGCTTCGAAAATTTCACTCGAATTAATTTTTGGAGGCTCGATTCAGCTCGCTAATCAACGGATGAACTCCATTGAAAGGAACCGGATCTGAAATAATCCTAAAATGATAGCAAGATTCGAACTCGAGACGCCTCTGTCGTATTCGCAGCCCCTGCACTCAGTTCGCAAAACTACTTGTTTCTTACTAAAATGTGATTATTTTTATCTATTTATTGTCAAGCTATCCTATACACATTTCATTTATTATTTGTTTAAATTATTATTTTATTAGAAATATTGCAGTGCAATGTATCTGCAACANTATTGCAGTGCAATGTATCTGCAACAATAGATAAAAATATTTTTCTTATTATTATTAATTATTTATTATTCTTATGAAGTACATTTTTCCAACGCGAAAGTTTTTGTCTCAAACAATGCTATATTTAAATCAAATATATTTTATATTACATTTATGTTAAAAAATGTTTTTTTTTTATGTAAAAAAAACCTACTTTAATCACCAAAATATTGAGAATGTTTTTAGGTTCAAAATAGGAGTAACGTAAAATTTATAAAATTAAAGGTTCAAAAGAGGAGTAAATAAATATAATCGTCAAAGTAGGTTTAAATAAGTATATTGGTCAGCTAAATAGGCTCAAAGTATCTTCAAAAGTTTGAAAATAGCATCAAAATTTCGACCCGGGTAGCGTTGCGTGCGGGATTGGCGGACACCCGCAGAACAACTCTACTGGCTGTAAAGTGGAGAGGTTTTCTGATAAAGAAAATGCACCAAACGGACGGAAGTCCCGTTTCTCTTCTAGATTTGAACACAGTATATATAAAGTATACAACAAAATGTTAAGCCTAAAAACCTCATTATATAAAAAAGTCAATTAGCATCAAACTAAAAATGAAAGAGATCAAATCGATATTTATCGATCAAACACAAAATTGGGAAATATTCGAATTTTATTTTCCTCCCGTCTATTTTAAGAGAAGATAATGTACTGTTCAATCTAATATTATTTATATAAAATCCAAATAGTACAATAGTGCCATGAAACATTACATATTGTAACTTGGGTTTACATAGATAAAAAAATAAAATAATTATAAGTTGTTAATTCAATATTTGAAGTGCAGCCGCGCCAAGTTTGTTTTTGCATTAAATAGTTTTTTTATTATTATTATTATACAATTATTATTATACAATTATTATTATACAATTATTATACAATTATTATTATTAAATTATTATTATTATACAATATGTTTTTGGTTATAAATGAAAATTTATTTAACTTTTCGTGGTTTCAACTTTTTGTGTAAGGCAGTCTTATTCTCACTAATAATGTAATAACGTCCAAAAGTTTACTTGGTGCTGTTTTTTAATATCACTTCTTTTGTAAAACAGATTTTGTAGAGAAAGAATTTTTTGTAATATATAATAAAATTGGTTTTGTTTTTTTTTCTATTGCTATAATAACGTTTTATAGTTTACTTGGTGCTACATTCTTATATCACTTTTTTTGTAAAACAAGTTTTGTTGAAAATGTGATACAATACGTGTTGCGCATGTACTTGGCGCATTTTTCTTACTTTTTTTTTAAAATAGTGTGCACACGTGCGGACAAAGGGAGAGTGACGGTTGCGCTAAACCGGTCTGTTTATGTTAAAAAAATTAACAGCTTATTTGATGATCCTCTCACTTACAAAAAAATAAGAAAGAATTTTATCAAAAATGTTAAGACTCAACTCAATGAATTGTTCAGTAATTGGGTAAAGAAAGATTATAGTAATGATTTGGTTTACAAATGTATTAAATCTATTGATGGGAATATCCCAAGGGCTTATGGAGAGTACCCAAAATCCACAAACAATCTATCTATATAGATTATTGGTATCTTCCATTAATAGCTCCGTACATTGTTTTGTGGATTATTTACATAATATCATTGTCAAGAGTATTCCGTTAACCGATAGTCACATCAACAACAGTTTTGCTTTGGTCTATAAAGTAGGCGATGGTTTGTTGCAGCCTGATCAGATTCTTCTGTTTTTAAACGTGGTCTTATTATTTACGAACGTTCCGATTAATTTGGCCATGCAAAGCATGATTATCAATCAAGATTAGATAGAAATACATCTGACTCAAGATAAAGATTCCTCCCTCTAAAATTTTGAAAACGGTTAAATTTGTTTTGTCATCCACTTATTTTACGTTTAACAATAATATATATGAGCAAACATTTGGGGTTCCGATAGATTCTCCGTTGTCTCCTATCATCGCGGATATAGTGATGCAAGATTTGAAAGTTTCCGTTTTAAAAAAAGTAAAATTTAGACCCGCTTTTTTTTATTACCGATGTGTGGATAACATTATTTTAACCGCGTCCGCCACGATTTAAATTATCTATTGGATATTTTCAACGGATATCATAACAGATTGAGGTTCACGATTGAGACGCAGGATGGAAATTCTTTGAGCTTTTTAGACGTCAAATTGATTGTGTCTAATAACAGGACAATCATGTGCGATTGGTATCATAAGCACACGTTTTCAGGCAGATAGGGTAAACCCGGGTAAGATGGCCAGTCTTCTTTAAATGCAAAAAACAGACCTTTAGTTTTGTTATTTTTTAATATTGTTTTTATTTTACTTCACTGAAGCTTATAGTAATAATAACTATCGAAATTAAAAAGAAACCACTTAACACAGAAATTTAATATTATATAAAATATTAAAATGTATGCATTGACCATCTTACCCAACTTTTAAGGGAAAGATGGCTATACATGTTTTTTAGTAAAAGATATAAGTAAAAAAAAAC